GTGTACGCATGACATCAGAAGATCCGATTCCGCTCGACCAAGACCCTACACAGAGCTGGATCGGCGTTGCACACTCTGGGGGGTTATGTACTCTTGGTTCCATCTTAGGAGTATCACTGAGGAGCGATCAGCACTCCCGTCATCTCACTACTGCAGATCTAGCCCCAGGGAGCGCGTCTTCCCGAGGACATTGGCACCCTCCTGCGTGAGTACCGTCTGCGTTGGCTGTGTCATGTTGCCCGTATGGACGGGGCCCGGATTCCTCAACAAGTGTTGTTTGAGGAGCTCGAGGCAACCAGACCACGACATGGACCAAAGAAGTGTTGGCGAGACACGGTTGTCGGTGATCTGTGCTGCTCACTAGATATTCCGGAGCCCGAATGGTATCAGCTCGCACAGGATCGCCCAGAATGGCGCAGGCGGGTCCATCAACGTCGTCTACATGTACCTCTCCCAGCACTGAAGGACTTCCACTGCGCATGCGGCAGAACGTTTAGAAGAAGTGGCGATTTGAAGCGTCACCTCAAGTACTGCCCAACACAGTAGCCCATCATCTCCACTGGAGATTGGACGTCAAAGGTCAAAGGTGTGTGTGTGTGTGAGTGTGTGTGTGTGTGTATGTGTGTGTGTGTGTGTGTGTATGTATGTGTGTGTGTGTGTGTGTGTGTGTGTGTGTGTGTGTGTGTGTGTGTGTGTGTGTGTGTGTGTGTGTGTGTGTGTGTGTCCCATATGGTGCAGTGGTATGTGCAGTCGATTTCCAATCGAGAGGTTGCGGGTTCAATAGATGACTTGCACAAAGATTGTCTGGGTTCGAGACGGGGCAAGTGGACCTTCAGACTCAGTTCTGACTCTGACTTCCCCACCTTTTGAGTTCGTGACTTTCGAAGTTTCGCTTTTTGCCTGACGAACGCTGAGCTATTTTTTTTGGCTAGAGAGTAGAGTTGTTTTGATTCGGCTTGTATCGTCATGCCGAAGCGCTGCTGCGCTCTTGAATGCACTAGCAGACGAGAGATGGAACTGAGGCTCCCATTCCATACGTTCCTTTCCGAGCCGGGAGGCAGAAAAATGAGGGAATATTATTTTAGTATCGTTGGTGTAGGCTGCAACAAGCACGTCGTGGTCCTGAAGTGTGACTACTTTCCCGCACTGGAAGCGAAGTGAAGCACAACGAAAGTTTGTGGACGTCTGAGAACGAACTCGATTCCCTTTGATTCGGCTGCACTAGCTCCAGAGCGACCCTCTCCTGAGGACAGACTGCGGAGAGGCCAGGAACCTGCCGAGTCACGAGTGGAAGGCTTCAAGCCCAAACCACGAAAATGAAGGGTGGAAGGACTGAGTGTGAGAGCCAGATGGCCTTTAGTAGTACTTCAAGTAGTATCTGAGTTGAAGGAGAGAACAAGTGTGCTGGAGAAACGCTGCGAAGTCCTCAGGCCTGATGTGTACTAGCTACTGTTGAAGTCTCACTTGTTCCAATATGAACACTTCATCAGCCCTGACTCTGAGCAGCTGTATCTAGACTTGGACTTAGGCCAGAGACATAGCATTGTAAACCTTACTGAAGCCATATGTATCCAATGCCTGGCTCTAGTGAGAAAGCAGTTTGGCGCAGGCTCGCAAACTATGATTGAATCAGGGAGTGGTGGAAAGTCACATTATACCTCTCCATGATTAGCAGGTAATGACGTTGATGCGGCTCCGGCTGGGTCTCATGGGAAAGTAACTTGCATACCTGTTTAGTTGCAACGAGGCAACGGTACCCCATGTGCTGAAGACATGATTGAACTACATTTTATCTCCTCCTGGGAGAATGTGGAACAAATAATGCCAGAGTGTGTCTGATACACATCACAGTCTGCTGAGTATGTTCATTATTGTGGACGTAACAGAACTGCGCTGTGAGGTACCTTCTGCGTTGGACCTACAGTTGAGCCACTACTCTTCTTACAAATTCCGGTGAAAGGATTTGTTGGAGCATCATCAAACAGTGCATTCGCCTTCATCATACATTGGCTCCGTTGCCTACAGTAATTCACATTTTGACGGGGTGCGCTGGGACGATACGGAAGGAGCGGCGGGAACCATTGGAGTGCTCATGATGCTGGTTAGCGGAGGCGGATGTGAGTGTCAGGAACGGGAACGCAACCGCACTAGTGTACAGATCAGGAAGCGATGGAAGAGTTGAATCTGTTCAGCCTTCCATGCCGTGTACAGGGACACAAACGTAAAAATGGCTACATTTCGAATGTGAACTGGCGATGGCATTGGGTGGCGACGAACACAACTGCAACTGTTCAAATTTCAGCATTTCGAACATTATGCTCCCATGATAACTCACCGAATGGCTCACATGACGGAGTTGGACATTGCCAGGCTAGGATTATCATTTGCTGTATTTATGGATAGTCCTTGAGTTTTCAGATGAAGTGCTTCATCTTTTACCTGTCGTTCCTTTAGTATGGCACAATGTCCATGGCTGCTTCCTTGTCTTCATAACAGACTGCTATAATCAGCATGATTCTGCTTTATTTGAGAAGAAATAAAACTTTCCTTTCGGAAAGGAAGCCCAGAAACGTCAACCCCCATGGACTGTGCTTTATGACTCTCGTACATCGACGTTAACCGTCGCAATACCTGCTGCATGTATGTTGTGCTGTGCGAACCGTACAAGATTTTACAGCTCACCCACGCCTTCCCAACAGGCTCCTATATCACGTACAGTTAGCGTTACATTGAATATGAACTAGGCTAGCACAGTTATCCTTCGTTCTTTTGATGGCGGCGGGTAGCATGGAACTTGACGTGTTCTTGGGATCCTCGTGCAACACTTGCTGTTCCCAGATGCCATAATTATTATTGGGTGCATCGAGGTTGCTTCTATGCTCACTGTTGTTTAGTAAGACAATTTTTTTATAAATCTTTCACCGAAGAATAAGGCAAGAGTATTTTGGGGTGGTTTGGACGCCTAGCGCCTGGCTTCTCTTCACATAATAATTATACAGTGAGTCATGTACTTCCACTAACCCTACAAGTACAAGTGCACATGACTCATGAGCTGCTGAAGACAGCGACGGTACTGATCATGTACATGTACCTGTACATGCCGTGCACCGTTCATTCATGCTGACAAAAAAAGTACACTACGAGTACAGACGGTATAGGTATAGGGTGCCCGCAGTGTAGCCTGGGTGCACAGGGTGCACTTGCCCCGTCTCACTCGCGGCTCGGATCTTTGTGCAAGTCATCTATTCCCGACGATTATGGTCGCACACGTCTTTCTTCTCTTTCTCGGACTCTTCCTGACTTTCCTTTCATTCTCCTGGGTGGTTACCAACAGCCAGTGTATGCCGGAGTATGTGGTGTGGTGTGTGTGTGTAGAAAAAAATGGAAAAATGAAAAATAGGGATTCACTGGCCAGAAAAAGTCACTTCAAACAGCTTTGTGGTGGATACCAGGCTTAAAATAGTGGCGGTCAATTCATCAGCCTTGCAAGCTGTTGAATGGTGTAATCCCAGCACAAGTTGCTATGTCTAACATAGCTGTTCGCTATCATCGCTTCCGCGATGGGCATGTCTGAGGTCTGAGGTGTGTGTGTGTGTGTGAATAGGGATTCACTGGCCAGAAAAAGTCACTTCAAACAGCTGTGTGGTGGATACCAGGCTGAAAATAGTGGCGGTCAATTCATCAGCCTTGCAAGCTGTTGAATGGTGTAATCCCAGCACAAGTTGCTATGTCTAACAAGTCATAGCTGTTCGCTATCATCGCTTCCGCGATGGGCATGTCTGAGGTCTGAGATGTGTGTTACGAGACCTTGAAGCGGACTGGTACAGAGTGGCCTGTGACTCTCGCCCAGACTGGGCCTCGGACGCCCCGGATCCTCTCGTACTCGCACTGGTGACTTGTTTCACATGCGCCCGGCGCTTCGCACGTCAGGGCGACCTCGCTAGGCACAAGTGCAGGGCTGAACGGCAGAAGCCGGTTGTCAGTGCCCTCCGTGTCATCGTTGGTTCCGGAGCCGCGGAGGCTTGGCTGTGCATCGTTGCTCCGCTTCTACCTCGTGCCTAGTACCGACCGAACCAGCTGCTGTCGTCACCGGTGACACTACCGCTCGGAGTTGTTGCAATGCTCACTGTGACACCTGCAATCGTTGTTTCCGCTCAACCCAGGGACGCAACCGCCATCGCTGTTCAACGCACTGCCACCGACCAACGGCCAGAGAACGGGACAAGTTCCCGCATATGTGTATCTGCTCTCGCCGGTTCCGACTAGTCTCGCATCTGGAGCGCCATCGGCTGGTGTGCTCTTTCTCTCTCTCTGCTGCCCCTCCGGGGCCCACGTGACCCTAGTGGTAGTGGCTCTACAGGACAGGACAGGTGTGTGTGTGTGTGTGTGTGTGTGTGTGTGTGTGTGTGTGTGTGTGTGTGTGTGTGTGTGTTGTTGTTGTTGTGTTTATTTTAATTCGCAAACCAAACGGGCAGATCTGCCCAATGAAAAGGTGGCGAATGCAGATAGAAAGCAGTAATAAATGAAATTGGGGTGTGTATGTGCAGGGTGAAGATGTGGATCAGGGTGAAGTTGTAGAACAGGATGAAGCTGTGGGGCAGGATGAAGCTATCCAAGAGGAAGAAAATGAATTTTCTGCGGCCGCAGTCAGAGGGCCGTTTCGCTTTGAGCCGCAGGGCCCTCCAGAGAGTGCTCAGGCTATAGCTGCTGATGCTGCTGAAGGCGATACACACATACCAGATGCAGTCCAGCGAATTGGGCACAGGCGTTGGTGTGGTTGCCTTTTCTGCAAAACAATGTTGAGGGAGGCAGAGTGCTTTTGTTGCCGCGAAAGCGCAGCGGCGCTGGCATTCTCTGAAGGGGAGATGTGCGTGACTCAACATAGAGACTTTGAAGCTGTTGTTAGCCAATGGCGGACTATGCTCGGCCAATCGTCAAATTATGCTTTTGATTATGCCACAGTTATGCCAACAAAATATGCTGAATTATGCTCGGTTCCACTATGTATTCACGCTGTACATAGAGGATTGAGAAACCACGCATACACACACGGCCATGCCCTAAGCATAATTTTTGTTTAAACCGAAAGATTATGACGACCTTACACGTTGGAATCCGTATAATTATTATGCCGGAGCATAATTTTTTTGGCGAAATCCCAAGATTATGCCGAATATTATGCCGGCATAATCCGCCAAGGGCTATGACAAGGAGTCGTAACTGGGGTATTAAAAAAAAAACCCCATCTGCAGGCTTTCTGACAAAGCTTTATTATGCCTCTAAGCGTAATTTTTGTCTAAACCGAAAGATTATGCCGACCTTACACGTTGGAATCCGTATATTACGCCGGAGCATTGTTTTTTGCCGAAATCCCAAGATTATGCCAAATATTATGCCGGCATAATCCGCCAAGGGCTAGCTGCTGTTCTACGAAACACTACTCTGGTTGTAGCAATGGTGGAATATCGTGACTTTCGCGGACGAACAGATCCCATAAACAACAGGTAAGGCGTCTCAGTATGATTACTGGCAAAATGTGTGATGTGTAATTATTGATGTTTCTGCAATCAATTGCACACATACACATAATAACAACATAGCATGCACATACCTGAACAATTTCATGTTCACACATGCAAGCACATACCTGAACATTTGTACCAAAAGCCGATACAGACAGTACTATCCCCATACACACAGACGTGCACACACACACACACACACACACACACACACACACACACACACACACACACACACACACACACACACACACACTTTCCTTCCTTCCTTCTTCCACTGCCATGACTGGCTATGTGGCCCCATACGGGGCAGACCAGGAGACGTGTTGTCCACCGGGCGGGGAACGCCATACTCAGCGCGCGCGGGCCGCGCGAACAGCGTTACACTTGTGCCTCGCAATGTCCTGCGGCCGACGAAAACTGCGCGCACAAGTGCCACAGATGAGGGGCTTCGCCACAGGCTCCATGCGGGCCTGGACAATAGCGTCGACAGCATCACGGCAGGTGACTCGCCATCCCTGTCGATCTTGGACGATGTCACCAAGCTGCTCCAGAGGAACGCCAACAGCCATCAAGTCGCACTTCGCGGAGTCCTTCCAGCGCTTACGGGGTCCATGCGGTGGACGTTTGGAGGGTAATGCGCCGTACAGCAGCTGACGAGGGATCCGATCTGGCATGCGGGACACGTGGCCAAGCCATCGAAGTCGGCGGACTCTGACTTTATCCGCGATCTCCTCCATATCGCCCCACATCCTGCGAACCTGGAGAGAGGAGATGTGCTCCTCGATCTGCCGGCCACGATTTATCTTCAGGATGGAACGCACGCACTGCAGGTGAAAGGACTCCAGGCGACGGACATCACGCTGCCTGACGGTCCAACTCTCAGATCCATAAAGAAGGACCGCCAGGACAGTCACTCCATACACGATGCGCTTGATGGCGATGCTGAAGTCATCACTGGCGAAAACCGACTCCCGCAGTGTACAGAACGCACCCGATGCAGCAGCAACTCGCCGAGACACATCAAATGAGCTCCGGGCGTCCGGCGTAACATGACAACCGAGATAGCGAAAGGCCTCAACGTGGTCAACAACACCATCCAAAGGGGTCTGGTCGGCATCCACAATACCAGCCCCAGCCGCCATGAATTTGGTCTTGGACATATTGACACTAAGGCCAAACGCACCAGCTACATCCCTGAACGAGGATAGAGCCCTCTCAGCACCAGCATGCGTAACTGCGAGCAAGGCTGAATCATCCGCAAACTGACACTCCGTCAGCCGAACTCTGCGATACTCTGCCAATCTGGTGTTGAAAAGCCGTTCCCTCCGAAACTGGACGAGTGGGATCCCCAGCTCACCATCATCACACACACACACATCTCGTAGTGCGGCGCGGTGCACCATGCGGAGGCTGAAGCGAGACTGGCTGCTGAGACAGGCAAAGGATTGTGAATGGTTTGGCTTGACGGCGAAGAGCGGTTGGGAGTGTATCGGTAACATTAAGACCTCCTTGGGTGGTATGCGTCCCCGTGCAGCAACTGCTATCAGAAACAAGCAAGGAGAGATCTGTGACACGGCAGAGGCCACCGGTGGAAGGTGGCGTGAACATTTCGATGGCCTCCTGAACATTGCCAGTGCTTACGACTTGGAGGTAGTGGATTCGATCGAGCAGCGGCCGGTTATGACGGAGCTTGGTGTCGTGCCTGAGTGTGATGAGATTTGGCGTGCATTGCGAGGGATGAAGTGTGGCAAGGCATGCGGCGGATCCGAGATATCTGTGGAGATGCTGAAGTACGGTGGCCCTACCCTGATTGCGAGGTTGCATGAACTGATACGGGTGGTGTGGGAGACTGGCAGCGTTCCACATGATTGGTCTGATGCTATCCTCGTCCCCATCCCCAAGAAGGGTGACCTGGGGTCTTGCGACAACTGGCGTGGGATATCGTTACTGGATGTGGCTGGAAAGCTAGTTGCTCGCATGATTGCCAATCGTCTGCAGGTTCTCGGAGAAAGGTGCTTGCCTGACTCGCAGTGTGGTTTCCGCAGGGGCCGTGGTTGTTCGGATATGGTGTTTGCTGTGCGGCAGATCCTGGAAAAGTTGCACGAACATGCCACGAAAGGTTTCGCTGTATTTATCGATCTGAAGAAAGCGTACGACTCGGTTCCGCGGAGTGCTATGTGGAGAGTGTTGGCTAGACTTGGCGTCCCAGGGAATCTGATCACCATAATCAGTTCCTTCCATAGCGACATGACTGCCAGTATTCGTGTGGGTGGAGACCTGCTTGCACCGATTCGGGTTGAGAATGGCTTGCGGCAGGGTTGTACTATGGCCCCGGTTTTGTTTAACCTATACATGTGTGCAGTCTTCGAGAGATGGCGTGGCGTGATTGACACACACACACACACACACACACACACACACAATGTCCCATGTACGCGATGGTGGCAAGAAAAGCACGCAAATCTACAAATGCACTGGATGTGTACCCACAGATTTTCTCTTATAGCAACGATAGCGTATCTGATTCTGAATGAAACACGCACACACATTACAATAACGCCCATCCGCAGATGATGGCAGGTCCTGAAAGGACCGACAGTGTTTCAGTAATGGGGAACAGAACTTCGAGTGGCGAGCGAGGCATACAAACACACACACACACACACACACACATCCGTGCGCGCGGGCACGCACTAAAGTATGCAGAAAGAGAATCTACATTGTAGTATTCCCTGGTTGGGAAATGGAAAGGAAAATAATACATTATAACAGGTTACTGTTGTCTGGACACTAGGAGCACAACAGCAAGGTAAGCCACTTGCTTTGAAGCAATGAAAGTTTATTATTCCACGGATGTCAGCAGAAGAGAACGTTCCAGAATACTGCACTGGCAACAGATGGCCTGCATGTGCACGACCCCATGCAGTCGGTCCAGCTGCCGGCCTTGCAGTGCTTAAAAGAATGTGCAGTGCAGCATGTCACGTAGTATCACAGCCTGGACAAATAGGTGCCGGGAAGTCCTAGTTATGTGCTCACCTACACCACGATGCACCAATCTTCTGAGCTGCTTTGGCAACAACTTTGCCCCCTTGAGACTCCCATGGGAGCCAGCTGTTGAGGGCTGCCCCAAGGTGAACGGCAATGACCGCTGATGGCAATACAACTCCATGACACGCAGTCACTAGGGCATCGTCAACATGGCGCTGAGGGTGGATCAATAAACCTGCCTTTTGGCTGGGTTGACAACGAGGCCACTGTCTTGAAGCTAGTCAGTAAGCCCGGTCACCGCCATTGACGAACCAGTCGCCACAGCAACGGCAGTAGGTTGTGACAAGTGTGGCGCAATATCGTCAGCAAATTCAGTACTCGGGATAAGATGAGTAACAAAGGGAACGGTTGTGTGTGTATAATATTGAAGTGAGCAGGGATGATCACAAACCCTGCCGGTACTCCACGGTTACAAGAAAATTCCGGACTGGACGACGGGCCAATGCCAACCTGCTACATCCACCCAGGCACATACTATTATGATAGCTGCCCAACCAGGTCAATGTCGACCCACTGCATATGTGAATGTCAAACAGATCCTGCAGGAGAAGACTGGGGTGTTAGCGTCTAGTGTACAGACACCAGTCACATTTCCTGCGTCTTTTGCAGCATACAGGATAGACTCATCACTGTAGAGTCCACTACTTCGTGATTTTTATTTGTACAATACATGGCAGGCGTACACGGTGTGCCTCGCAGGACTGCGAAATGCTGCAGAAGACCAGGTTCGACCTTTCTGGACGGCCATTCACCGACGGTGGGCTACACGATGCCGGAGGAACTAGATTCCAGTGAAAACCCAAGATTCCTTTGCTCCTGGACGCTCCGACGTGTTGTGATATCTGCCAGGTGCGCAGTAACTAGTATTTTCATCGCTATAGCGAGGACGACGCCGATCGGCAAACTCTCGCTCACAGCCATCACCAGCCTCTCAAAACCATCACTTGGCATCCCCCAGAGGTATAGGAGAAAGCCACAACAGCTCACAACAATCTAAAGCTAAGGACGATGGAAAGAGAGCATGTCAAAAAGAAGACGAACATTATAGTTCAAATGGTTTTGAACACTCGTTCCACCAACCCGCGATATTCATGTTAAAACAAAATGGCGTCACGATTTATTGAAAGTGGTATAGTTGGTGGTACGAGTGTTCAAAACCATTTGAACTAACTTCATACTGTTCGTCTTCTTTTTGACATGCTCTCTTTCCATCGTCCTTAGCTTTTGTTTGTTGAGAGCTGTTTTGGCTTTCTCCTATACCTCTGGAGGATGCCAAGTGATGATTTTGAGAGGCTGGTGATGGCTGTGAGCGAGAGTTTGCCGATCGGCGTCGTCCTCGCTGTAGCGATGAAAATACTAGTTACTGCGCACCTGGCAGATATCACAACACGTCGGAGCATCCAGGAGCAAAGGAATCTTGGGTTTTCACTGGAATCTAGTTCCTCCAGCATCGTGTAGCCCACCGTCGGTGAATGGCGGTCCAGAAAGGTCGAACCTGGTCTTCTGCAGCATCTCGCAGTCCTGCGAGGCACACCGTGTACGCCTGCCATGTATTATATAAACTCCTGCAGTAGTGGACTCTACAGTGATGAGTCTCAGCCTGTATGCTGCAAAAGACACAGGAAATGTGACTGGTGTCTGTACACTCAGTGACTGGACGCCAACACCCCAGTCTTCTCCTGCAGGATCTGTTTGACATTGACATTATGCAGTAGGTCGGCATTGACCTGGTTTGGCAGCTATCGTAATAGTATCTGCCTGGTTGAATGTAGCAGGTTGGCGTTTGCTCGTCGTCCAGTCCGGAATTTTCTTGTAACTCACGGTGGAGTACGCGCAGGGTTTGTGATCATCCCTGTTCACTTCAATATTATCAAACACAACGTTCCCTTTGTCACTCATCTTATCCTGAGTACTGAATTTGCTGACAATATTGCACCACACTTGTCACAACCTACCGCCACTGCTGGCGGTGGCGACTGGTTCGTCAATGGCGGTGACCAGGCTGACTGACTAGCTTCGAGACAGCGGCCTCGTTGTCAACCCCGCGGCAGCCTAAAGGTTGATTTTATCGATCCAGCCTCAGCGCCATGTTGACGATGCCTTAGTGACTGTGCCTTGCCATCAGCGGTCATTGCCGTCCACCTTGGTGCAGCCCTCAACAACTGGCTCAGCCCATGGGAGTCTCAAGTGGACAAAGTTGTTGCCAAAGCAGCTCAGAAGATTGGTGCATCGTGGTGTAGGTGAGCACATAACTAGGACTTCCCAGCGCCTATTTGTCCAGGCTGCGATACTATGTGACATGCTGTACTGCACATTCTTTTCAGCACTGCAAGGCCGGCAGCTAGACCGACTGCAGGGGCCGCGCACATGCAGGCCGCCTGTTGCCAGTGCAGCATTCTGGAACGTTCCTTCCTTCTGAGATCCGTGGAATAATAACTTTCTTTGCTTCAAAGCAAGTTGCTTACCTTTCTGTTGTGCTCCCAGTGTCCTTACAACAATAACCTACAGCAATGTTTTATTTTCCTTTCCATTCCCCAACCAATGAAAACTATCATGTCGATTCTATTTCTGAATACTTTAGTGTGTGCCCGCGCACACACGTGTGTGTGTGTATACCTCACTCGCCACTCGGAGTTCTGTTCCCCATTACTGGAACACTGCCTGTTCTTTCAGGACCTGCCATCATCTGCGGATGGGCATTCAATGATTGTATTGTGTGTGTGTGTTTCATTCAGAATAAGATCCGCTATCGTTGCTATAAGAGAAAATATGTGGGTTCACATCCAGTGCATTTGTAGATTTGCGTGATTTTCTCGCCACGGGCGCATACATGGGACATTGTGTGTGTGTGTGTGTGTGTGTGTGTGTGTGTGCGTCTGTGTGTATGGGGATATTGTCTGTATCGGCTTTTTTTTTTTTTTTTTTGGTACTAATGTTCAGGTCTGTGCTTGCATGTGTGAACATGAAATTGTTCGGTTCTGTGCATGCTGTTGCTATGTTGTATATTATTGTATGTATGTGTGCATTTCCACGAACAGTGTAGATGAGCGTGGAGAGTGCATTCATCTCTCATCAACCACTTCCCCTTGGGCTTACGAGAGTTTTTTCTGCG